TTTTTACCGTGTCCTACCCACACAGGGATCTCAGAATATATGGCTTATAAAAGATTTATAAATGATAATTGGAAATAGAACGTAAAATAACGCAATAATTTAGTAAATGTGTTTACAAAGTTTTATTAAGAAATATGAATGGTGAATATGTAATATATTAAAAATAATAATAGATAATAATTCTAATCTTGCATTCATTACGAGAGTTATGATGTGAGGAGTTATGATGTATGATATGTTTTATGTAATGCATTGAATTTAATATACTTAATCCAAACTATGTATGCATTTTGGCATAAATCTGAGCCTAAAAATTCCGTATATTCTAGGCGTAATTCCTGAACGCAGCCCAGGTGAAGATGTATCATATCAAGCCGAATAGAGAATGAAGTTAAGCATTTATATTTTGCTATATTTTGTTCTGTATCATCTCTCTATATTTATCACCAAATAACCAAGTCTTTTCTGTTCCCTATAGTAATGATTTAATATGAATTATATAATATACGGTTGCGTTACTTATTACATTGACAAATCGATTTAACTGACATAATAATATTATTAATATTACAGTAAAAAATTAAAATTACAATACTAATATAACATAAAAGTATATAATAGATTAGCTTCCTGCAAATTATTTCAATTTCTTCTTTCTGATTTCTATGGCGTATATCTTGGCGCGCAGCGTATATAAATATCGAAGTTACCTTATTGTTTGAATTCCATTTCAATTTATTAGATATTGTATGTATTTAAAAATTATTATACGATATATAAATAGTAAAATAAAATACTCTATAATCGTTTAATGTAAAATTGATGTGATAATTAATAAATAAATGATTATTAAAAGAGGGACATATTAACGTGTTCTCTCTTACCAGCAGAAAAACAAACAATCGACTCTTAGATTATCAACCATAATGTACTAAAAATATAAAAAGTTAAAAAACATTAGAAAAACAATTTTGCTAAAAAAATCTAACATATAATACATAAAAAAGGAAAAAACTACTTACTCCCTCAACAAGATACTCGTAGCATATTTCAAGTAACTCCTGCAAATTGCTCATAGTTGTTGTTGCAGAAAAAAGTTTTCGATAAAAGTTTTTTCTAAAAAAAAATTACACTATTATAATTGTCACTTTCACTTTCACTTAATCATATAAGCGTGCAAAAGTATGCTACCACTTAAATGGTAGAATACTCATGCACGTTTATCAAAATCATTCACGATGCAAACTCTTTACTATAATTCGAAATATAATTCAAAACGACACGAACCTCGCGCAGATGAAATTCGGCAAAGACTGACGCTGAGAAGCATCCTTTGCTATAGCGAGACTATCTAGTAGTAGGATACATTTGTGCTGCATATGAAACACTTAAGATCATAAATGTTTGTTAGGATTTGCACGATGATCAATCTACACAAACGTTCTTATATTCGTGATGTATATTTGTTGTAAGTACAAGGTTAGGGCCCGGCGTGGCACGCGTGTTAATCCATGAGCGCGGGTCGTAGGACTGACTCTCTCCTGCGATCGTCACGCCCTCGTCAGGCTTTTCGCTAGGGACGGGTCCTGGATGAAGGTTTCCCTGTGGAAGAGCCGGGATACCAGGTCGGGGCTCCGCTGGGTTCTGTACCGGTTCAGGCTCGTAGTGGGTCCAGTTATCTGAGGTCAAAGAATCAGGATTCGCCGGAGCGCTACCTCCTATCTAAATGTGGTTGATGTGTCGTTCGACCGACCTGCCACTGTCCAGTAGTATTAGATAGCGTGTATTCGATAAAATGTTCTTGATGTGTCCCTGTTCGCGTTTGTCTTTTAGTGCCACGATGACTCGGTCTCCCAAATTGAGAGTTCTGTGACGAACTCCGTGGTGATGTTCGAATTGTTGTTGCATCTCCAACTGTTTCTGCGTGAGATTGTTTGGAAAAGTGGATGGGGGTAGTTTAGGGAGTAATTTGGTGAAAGGAGAGGTAATACGTCTGCCAAACATTAATTCGGCTGGAGATCTTCCATTTGAGGTTGCAGAGTAAGGTGTATATCTGTAACTGTAAAGGAAGTCTTGGAGTTCTTTTCTCCAGTTGGAAGGATTTTTTGCGATAGCTTTTTTTATGAAGTCGACCATTCTCTCTTAATTTGTTAGATTGAGGGTGGTTGACGGCGGAGAGAATGTAAGTGATGTGAATCTCTTTGCAAAAGTTTGCGAAGATATCTGCTGTAAATTGCGTTCCATGATCGCTTATTAATATTTCAGGCGGACCATACCTGGAGAATATTTCCCGACATATTTCTATTGTGCGTGCTGCAGAAATAGTTGGCGTGATAGCCACGTTGATAAATTTTGAAAATGCGTCCACGAAGACGAGTAGATATTGGCCGTCTATCGGTCCTGCGTAATCCACATGTAAACGTTCTAGAAGCTTAGAGGGGATTGGCCACGGAGAGATTGGAATCTTGACTGGTAATTTGCGTGTTAGTGCGCAGGGGTCGCACCGTTTTACTATACGTTCGATATCCTCGGAAAGTTTTGGCCAGTAGACGTATTCATGTGCGAGCTGCTTCATTCTTCGAATACCGGGATGGCCTTTGTGCAGAGATGACAGGATACTGGCTTGAATACCTTGAGGTATGATTACTCTGTCTCCGAATAGTAAGGTGTCGTCGATGATTGACAGGAAGTCAAGACGTTTCTTATAGTGTTCCATCGTAGGTGAACTGATAGTAGGAGTTTTATTGCTCCGAATAGCTTCCATGATAGCTTGGAGGTCGGGGTCAGTACTGGTAGCCGATTTTAACTTGAGACGAAGTTCTTCTCCAAATTTATCGATGGAGAAGTCTCTGATTCGTTGGATTTCGTTTTCCACTGCACGGACACAGGCTACTTGAAAGTATTCACTGTTATCGTGGCGGAATTTCTGTATTAAACGCGATAAAGCGTCTGCTTGACCGAAGTCCTGTGAGTGGACATATTTGATTTCAAAGTCGTAACCCAGTAGTCTTATGGCCCAGCGCTTGAGACGAGCCGCTGTAGTGGGTTTTAGACCTTTTGTGTCTTCAGATTGGAGGAGAGCGACAAGCGGTTTATGGTCGGTTTGTAGGATGAACTTCCTTCCCCAGACGAATTTATGGAATCGTTCGACCGCCGTAATCAATGCAAGAGATCATCGATGAAGGCGCCGACGCCGTCCAACCCTGAAATCGATTGATCCATGGCTTGTTGAAATGTGGCTGGGGCCGTCTTGATGCCAAAGGATAGACGTTTGTATCTGAAAAGGCCCTTTGAAAACACCTTTGGTGTTGTGATCGTGGTGACATGATATCCTTCAGCGATTTCGATTTGCAAGAACGCATCACTGAGGTCTAAAACGCTGAAATAACTATTACCATTTAGTTTAGATACTATAGAATCTATGTTCGGTAAAGGATACATGTTATTTTTCAATGCCTTATTCACGCCTGTGGAGTAATCAGCCCATAAACGGATTTTGCCGTTTGGTTTTTTTACGATGACGATAGGTATACTCCAATCCGATTGATGTACGCATTCGATTATGTCTAAAGATTTTAAACGCTGCAATTCCTCGTCTAGGAGAGTTTCCATCACGAACGGGATTTGCCGACATGGAGTTTGCACTGGAACAGAGTTTTCGGATAACGTAAGTTTAGCTTGAAAATTTTTACACTGCCCGAGGCCCTTGGAAAAGAGTTTTGGAAAATTTTTCACGATGTGGTCGTTTGATGCTGGAGGTGATGGTAGTGGCTCGACGGGGGAATTTGTTTTGTTGTGTTTAACAACTGCGCGTTGTGAATTTTCACAGAACTCACGGCACTTGTCGAGAAGCATAGCTCACAAATTGAGCTTCTCGATAGCGTTTAAGCCGAATAGGTTAAGACCGTCGCGCGCGGCAACATCTATCACTACATCACCTTCACGATTAGCAGCCCGTATTTTACACTTGAATCTTCCTAATGTTTTCAGAGCATTGCCCCCGGCGTGTTCCACAGATTTGCCGGAGCTAAGTGTAGGACTGCCTAGACGTATCCACGTGTCTTTCCCGATGGTCGTGACATCTGATCCACTATCGTATTGAAATTGTATGTACATGTTGGTCGAGTAATGACGTAGGAATGTAGATGCGTCGATAGTTGTTAAGCGAAGTTATCGATTGAATTGCTGGCTTATCGATATCAACTGTGTTATCGATTGTGTTGTCGGTCGAAAGGTAGTCGACCTTATCCTTCGAGCGACACACCTTCGCGATGTGGCCTTTTAAGGAACACTTAAAACACGTGGCGTCGCGGAACGGACAGTTTGCACGACGATGTGCCCAGCCGTTGCAATTGGACGATTGTCTAGGCACACTCTCCGTGGTGCCAGACTGTTTCGTGGATTCTGATGAAGGCCGTTTCTTCTTTTCTGATTTGAAGCGCACAGACTGCGTGGTTGAAGTGGAGAAATTCGATGGGTTTTCGAGCGTTTTCAAGTTTGTAGATACGTTCATATGAGCCTCGAGTTCTGTAGTGATATCACTGAGAGTAGCATTTTCGTTCTTCTCGATTACACATAGAGCCCTCTTTTTTAGATCCTCGTTATCACTTGAGAAATAGAGTGATTGGAGGAGTAATAAAACTCTGAAATTATCATCCGTGAATTTAGAACGTTCGAAATCTGAAGCCAAACGATTTATTTGGTCGATGTGTTCAGAGATAGGAATAGCTTTGTCATATCTATAGTTTAAGATTTCGATGCGGCGGCGGGGGAGAGATGTCTTGTCACGAAAGAGATTCTTCAAAATGGCGATGAGATCTGTTTGTTTCATCTTGGTCGGATCCGCTGGTGCGACGTGGTCCACTAAACGATCGAATTCTGGTTGACCCAGGTTGTCTAGAAGTAAACGAGTGCGCATTTCTTCGGGAAGAGACTCTGATTCTTTGACGAGTGTATATTCGTACCATAACAACCATTTTGGGAATGGTTTCGACTCGTCGTCCGAGGTGAACACATATTTCTCGATGCGAGTATTTAATTGATTGTATACGTTAATTGTAGTCGATGAGCTCGGATTTACATTTTGGGCGTGATCTCGTTGAAGTTGCAATTGAAGTAAATTGTTAATGGCAA